CTGGAGTTGGTGATTTGGAAAAAAATCAGAATGCATTGGATTTCATTTTTTCTTGGCTTAGCATTTCCTTGATTTCTTACCTTGTACCACCCTATCCCAGGCATAGACTTGGCCATTTCTCCAGAGACCCCTGGCTCCCTTTGATGTGGAATGTAATTAGAGACCACTATGTGGGCGCCAGGTGTGCTTGTCTGCTGGGTGCCTTTGCTTCTAGGTTCTCTGAACAGCTAGGAAGTACATGCATTTCTGCACCTCCGTACATAGGTGCACTCTCGTCAATGGAAACACACATTAGCACTTAAAAATCAGACATTGGGGCCAGCAGGTGGTGTGGTGGTTAAGGCACTGGACTCCCACGTGGATGACTGCAGTTCAAGTCCCAGACCCAGTGGTTTGAAAATCACACTAGGCACATGTGCATGCATGTGCCCAAAATCGCAAGAGGAAAACTGAGGAGAAGGAATCGCAGTGTGGCCATTTCCCTCATTTTCCCTCTCTGTATCTCTCTGGCAAGCACACATACCCTATGGCAAAAACATTGAAAAAAAAATCAGACATTGGAACTTAGATTCTAAGACAAACATCTTTTAGAGTCACGAATTCACACCTATACTTCCAGTGCTGGTCCATCTCCACATGATTTTCCTAGACTCCCTCCATTCACATTCCTGTGGCCCTCCTCCCACGGGAGAACTCTGGGCCCAACATGCACATATTCTCTCATTTGTTAAATCCTGTAATATGTCTAAAATAGTTTCAGAATGGTCTCATTCTTAGCACCACCAAAAAGGGGGAAAAAAAAAAAACCTGAAGGGAGTTCGGCAATTGTTTGCGTGTCTTCCCTTATTCCAGTCTTGCCTGAGACTGAAAACACAGTTAGATGTTCAGAAGCCGCTTGGATGAGTTTTGTCCTCCTCCTTCAATATGGCGATGGTATTCATTTGGAAATACAAAGCTGGTTCATTGTTCCAACTCACTTTCAGTGTAAGGGTATTTTTCCTCCATCCTACCCATTTTAACTTAACAAGTTTTAATGTGAGGAACATTTAGCAACATAGTTTCAAAAGTCAAAATATAGACCGGGATGTCATTCGGAGTGTCACCACCCCGTGTGCCTAACCCATTCGTGCCTGCCCTTTGTGTTCTGTGTCCCCAGATGCCTCTTGCATCTGCGTTTTCTTTCTTTCCTTTCTTTCATGTGCAAAAGGTAGCACCCTATATATGTTATTTTTGTCCAAGCTTCATATATATCTTTTCCTTGGATATACCACAGACCAAATTCAGTTCAGGAACAAGTAAGCTCCTAGCACGTAACCGTAGTTTAATTAATAGTCACTTGCAAAAGTCAGATGGTTTCTTCCAATGACTTTGTGAAATAAACTTTGGAATAATGACTATTATTTAATCTTTTGTAATAGGCATCTTAGAATATGATTTCTTATGCAAATAGAATAACATTTTTTATCTTCTATTGAGGTAGGTCGATGCTGCAATGAACTTGAGGTGAGATTTTCTGGAGCAAAGGGTTTGTGTGATGGGTTATTTCCGTTTGAGCAGATAGCAACAAATCAATGGCGTTAGGTGACTGGTCACGGTGACTCTGAGGCCTAGGAGCCCGTGTGTGCTTCTGTGCTTCTCCTAGGCCTAATGGGATCATGGTGGCTTTTTTTTTTTTTTTTTTTTTGGAGACGTTTTCGCTATAGGGCGCGTGTACTTGCCAGACAGACAGAGAGAGACAGAGACATAAAGCGAGAAATCACCCCCCAGAGGGAATGGTCATGCCACAATTCCTTCTCCTCCATTCTCTTCTCGGGATCTTGGGCATGCACGCACACGCGCCCGGTGTGAGTTTTAAGCCACCGAGTCTGGGACGTGAACCGTGGTCGACTGTGTGGGAGTCCAGCGACATAGCCATTACGCTAACTGCTGGTTCCCAAGGATCATGGTGGCTTTGAGCCCATTCAGAGCTGCTCCTGATTTTTCTCCCTTTAATATTTGAGAAAGCTCTTTCCTGTTTCTTTTCCATTTCTATCTTATGCCCAGATTCAGCCACTACTATACATTTGAACCTGATGCTCTGTCTTTCAAAGTATTACCTTCCTCCATGTCTTAATCTCTGTGAAACAGGAGAGCAGGTATGGTCATGCCTGTTTGGGGGATGCAGAAACAAGCTCGGAAAGAAGTGACGGGGCTGGGACTAGAATCTAGGTCTTTCGACTTAGAGCCTAGAGTGCGTCAGGAGAGCCAGGGGAGCAAGTGGGCTTCTCACGCAGACCCCACCTCCTGCCTCTTTCCTCCACCTTGTCCTGGAGCCAGCAGGCAGGGATTAATGCTGAGGAGATCTCAGCTCTGTCCACATCAGTAAGTGGTGCCACCTGCTAGGTGACAGGACATGCAGAACTGCCAGAGATCAGTTCAGAGGGCCTGTGTGAACAGCTTTGTTTTAGGAACGTTTGTGATAGTGACTTGTTCTCAATTACAGGTCCATAAACTGGGACTGCAGCGGTTTCTCTTGTCAGGAATTTTAGTCATAGCAGGGTTTTCCTTCTGCTTCACCCCATCCCAGCAGCCAAGAAAGTGCTCCAGCGAGACAGCTTGTTAGAAAGGAGATTTTTATATTTCTACTTATACATAAAATAAGATATTAAAGCAAGATTTCATTTTATGAAGTTCTTAAGCATTGCCAGGTAACTATTTTTTTAAATCTTTGTAAGTTTTTTTTTTTTTTTAAAGAATCAAGATCCACTAGGAATCAAAATAAAAATACCCTTTTTGTCTGTAATCATCTAAATTTGGGACACGAAGTTCTGAATCAAAACATGCAAAGAGATTTATACTAGGATACCTTTGGGTGCATAATGAAACCAAAGGCCACCTTGTTCTCTGCAACGCATTTAAGAGACTATTACATAACACAGCTTCCTGTGGCCACGTGATGCTCAAACCCTCCTGTTGTTCAGAGATGTGACTCTGGATTGAGTGTGACTTCCTCGGAGTCCTGAGTAATTTGGTGTTTTCCCAGGGCTGACTTAGGCATTTCTTGTACCCCCAGAAGGCCAAGAGTTTGAGCAACCCCACAACACTGTCGGGATGTAGTTTGTGTGAGCAGTAAGACATGCCCTCGAGGTCCCTTTCTTTTGAAGACAGGAAGGTGTCCTTGAGAGGAGTGCCTTTGGGCTGGGAGGGTCTGAGTGTCTGGGTCAACTCTGACCCCTCATAACCCCTGGGATCAGCTCCTCTGTGAGCAGCCCCCAGGACACCTTGCAACCTTGCCCCTTCCTTGCTTCCCAGGGGGCAGAGTGGAGACAGATCAGCCCTATCAGAACTGAGCACGGGTTCCAGGGAGCCTGAGAAGTGTGTGATTTAAGAGCAATGAGTGAGATTCCTTCAAACTATGGGCAGAGGGTGGCACTTGGCGAGGGTTCTAGTTTCATTTCTGGCATCACTGGGCACTTGAGTATCTGTTCAGCCTCTCCACAGCTGGGAGTCGAGGGAGGGTCACTTAATTTCCCCGTGTGTGTGTCGGTGGACTGGGTTCACGAGGACCCCAGGGAGAGACGCATTGGCTTTGAGTCAGAAGGAAGGAGGGAGGGAAGACAGAGGTTACCGACGTCTGCCTGTTGCAGTCTGTGTGCAGAGGCTCCTCTGCCTGGAACCTCACCCGCTTCCTTAGCAGTTTTAACTTTCTAAATCCATAGCTGGCACATCTTGGCTCCCGTAGCAAGTCATGGTGGGAAATGCAGATGGTTCCTGGGGTATAGAAATTGGGTAATTGGCCACCTTACTCCAGACTTGCCCAAGTGAATGTGGGGTTTGTCTGGGCATCGACAGACGGCCGCACGCATGGAAGGGAGCATCAACAGCAAACAGTCGGGAGCCTCTCCATGTCTGCCAAAGCCTTTTGGGGCAGGTGTTCCATAAATGGGCAGAAAAGTTACTGCCTCTTCTCCTGCAGGGGAGACTTTCTAGGGGCGATCATGGCAAGAAGTGAGGGTTAGGAAAATCGATGCTTACCAGGACTCGAGTGCCTCTTTAGGGAGAGGTGGGCCAGGAGGGGGCTGTGTGTGGACGCCTGGGAGGACCACTCCACTCTCTGGGCTCTGGATGTGGACAGAGGGGTTGCCATACCCTATGAATGCAATATTTTACCCAGAAGTAGTGAAGGAGCCCTAAACTGAATGCCCTCCAATCACAGCTTGGCTCCGGGGTCCCTTAGAAGTTGACACTGGATATCTGAGGAGGCCCTGGGGAAGGTGGGACATGTGAGTTTGGGCCCCAGTGGGGGTGTCAGAGGCCTGCAGTGGGAGGACATGGTGCCATCGCAAAGGGGGTTCATTGTCTGAGAAACGATGCACGTGTCTCGGTGTGGTCTCTGCAGCTCTGCCAGCGTGGTCTGCCTGGGAAGACACTGTCCCCTGTCCTGTACTTGTGTGTGGCTTCCCTGGCTGTGCTGTGTGGCTGTGTGCAGTGCTGTGTGTCCTGCTGCTCGGGTGCCATGGTCAGCAGGGCAGACAGCCCACGAGGCAGGCCCCCGAGAACGTCTTGACACCCGCATGTTCTCCTTGCTTTCCTCAGAGAGTTTTCAAAGGAAAGAGAGAAGGCTAAAGCGCGCGGAGATTTCCAGAAGCTCCGCGAGAAGCAGCAGTTGGAAGAGGATCTCAAGGGCTACTTGGATTGGATCACCCAAGCGGAAGATATTGATCCTGAGAACGAGGAAGACGGAGGAGAAGAAGGCAAACGAAACAGTACGTGCTATTGCCTGCCCTGCCCACCCAGACCTGGCGTGCCGGTCAGGTAGTCCGACTGTCAGGCCCTGCCACCCACACGTACCCGGGAGCACATGTACCCTGACTGCTTGGGCTGTCTGCCTGGGAAGTGGGGTTTGCATTTGTGTATGGGGTTTACGTTGTTTAGTGAGGAGAGTCAGGCCAACTCACTGTGGACTTCAGGAATTGAGGGCCAGCAGAGGGTGTGGTGAGACACCTTCATCCCGCCCCAGGGCAGGAACTGTGGTTTCCCGTGCCCTGGAGTGAAGTGTTACTGCACAGGAGTTAGAAGAGCAGGGCCCCCACCCCCGTATGCCACCTGAAGTGGTGCCAGCCTGTGCCGTGCACGTGCTCAGCCCGTCAGGGGCTAGGGAGAAACCGGTTCCCTGATCCAGGTGGCCACCAAGGGGCACGTGCACCTGGCACCCGCACTGGCACGAGGCACCAGAGCAGAGCACTTTCTGCAGGAGACCAGGCCTGGCTCTGCGGTGGCTGCCAGGCCCGTCTGCCCTTGTCCACCACAGGGCGTTTCACCACGTGCTTTTCCTGCCAGACCTGCTCTTACCCTTCTTGGACCATCAGTGGAAGTAAAAGTGCAAACTGGAATGTGGCAGGCATTTCGTTAAGGAGTCGATGATTCGTTCAAAGCTAGCATCATTGGCAGTAAGGGCTGAGAACACATGCAAGTCCGCAGCGTGCTCATGGAAAATGCACATGGAGAAAACTGTAGATTTCAAAAGCTTTCGCACCAAAGTGAGCTTGTACTTTAAGTCCATTTTTCCATGAACTTTTTGATATCCCCTTGTATTTCAGGGACACGTGTGTATTGAGGGGCCTGGGAAACTGAGTTTGGCCTTCCCTGTAGAGGATAGCCAAGCCTATCCCTGCTTGAGCCGTGTCCCTTGGTGGTGTGTGGTCACTCGATCCCTTAGCAAGGCCGGGTTCTGGACATGACAGCGCTGCGGTAGAGGGCCGGCCTGTGCCCTTCTTAGGAAGGACAGGCCTGCTTACACACACTGGCCGGCTGGCGAAGGCCTCCCTCTCGGCCTCTTCCCTGTGCCCCCTCCAGGCTCACCTGAGGATGAGGAAGCCACTGCCTGGAGACTCAGCAAGGGTTTCTGGAGCTGGGTCTGTCAGCTGTGAAATCAGGGTTCGTGGGTGGACATTTGTTTGAGTCCCAGACTCGGCCACTTATCTGTGAGGTGCTGAGCTGTGACAGGGTCTGCATGACCTCACCACGGTGCTCTCTGGAGCTGTCAAGCCAGCCCAGACCCCCACAGCCTCTGCAGAGCCTCCTTCCTGCAGCTGGGACACTGGGCAGTGTGGGTCCCCAGCCCCTGCCTTGACCCCCGTGTGGCAAGGTGCATGTACAGGAGACGGGCATGCCCCTTTCTCTGCCTGTGTCACAGGTCCCCCAGGTTGCCAGGTGGCCTCTCGCAGCTGATGGCCTTCCATTGCTCCGTCCTTCCACTGCTGGCAGATGGGGGCTCGTGGTGGTGCCAGCGCCAGTCGTGGTGGCCTTGTGTCTGTTGCCGTAATCTGGGGAGGAAAGCCTTGCATCTGACTTGAGGCCATGTCTTCTGTGGTCCCGGTTAGCCAGTATTTTATCTCAGCCTAGTGTTTCCTGTGTCCTGCCACTGACCAGGCAATGAGAATACCCGAGTCCCTACCTCTCAGATCTCGCCATGAAGAGAAGGAAGGGAAGTGGCCACTCTGTGTGAGACAGCAGAGAATCTGGCCCTGTCATCAAAGGCCAACTGCCTGCCCCAGAGCTGAGAGGAAGGCTGCAGAGATGTGGCTGGGGTGGAGGTGGGAGCTTTCTGGGCGAATGGCGAGGTCAGGTGCAGAGGTGACAAATGCCCAAAGCCCCTCACTGTATGACAGCGACAGCAAAACCAAGGAAAGCAAAGTCAGAGATCTTCAGGGCTCACTTGGAAACGGGGGCTGTGAGCTCATACAGTTCTGTGTGCCTTTGGCGTGTCTGCCCTGTGGTTTCTGCTATGCCTGGTCACGTGTGACGCAAAATGATTGAACTGCCTGACCTTTGATCCAGAATCACCCCTTGCTCCTTCTTGAGCTTGTTTTGCCGGGTGCCGGGGCTTCCTGTGGAGCGAGGCCTTGAGTGCTGCTCGGTTCGGCAGGTTTCCAGAGCCTCGGTACTGCAGGCCTCAGATAGAGACTCAAAGCTGAGACTGGGCACCATGCTGTGCTTAGGTTAGGAAGAGGGCCCCAGGTCTCCTGCTGAGCGGGCCAGCCTTCCTGACTATGGACCTCCTGGAGAAGCCGGAGTTGTTGGGGTTCCTTGAGGTCTCCTGGGACCACCAGCTGCTTTCTTCCTGTCATAGCCAGAAAATCCCAGGAGGAGAGGCTTTCAGTGAGACCGACGTGGTCCTCCTTGCCAGAACTCACGGCTGTGTCACCTGCCTGTGCCAGGTCCAGGGCTGTCCCTGCGCAGCCGACTGGTAGGAGTAGGCCTGTGGGTGTGCCGGTGCCACTGTCAGGGTGCCTAGACCCATGGGGCATGTGAGATGTGCCCACACGCCTTCACCCCAGCCCTGCTCCTCCACTATCTCTGGGCTTTGGCTGTCCACACTGGCTCAGGATGCTACTTTGACTGATGGCCCTTTCGGCTGCGTCCCCCTGTGAGTTTCCTCCCCACTGTGGAGTGACAGTGTAAGAAGGAGCCCTCCCTGACGGCACAGCCTCAGCTTAGGTGAGCGGCAAGTCTAGGAAGTCCCTGGCAACAGCAACTGGCCGGGAGCTCCGAGGGGGCCAAGCCTCAGGCTGTAGGGCATTTGGCGCCCCTGTTCTGGAGGCTGGGATGAGTTTTGTGACTTGGAAGTTGGACTTTTAGATTAGAAACATTACCCGTCTCTGAGCCCACTTTCCTTGTCTGCAAGGAGGAGATAAGTCTGCCCACGGCTGCTGGGAGGATTAAACGCGCTAGCACTGGTAGGCGGCGTCATCGCTGTCGTCGCGCTCACTGCTGCTGCTGTCGGAAGACTCTGGTAGAACTGGACTTACGCGGGGTATTTCTGAAGATTCTAGTAGACCTCTAACCACCCTCAGTGTGAGGACTCCTTACAGGACCGCTGCCTGTACTCCTCTGTTTAGAAACCACCGGTTCTCAAGAACCAGTGGAAAAACACTGACTCACTCAGTTTTGAGACATGGTAGCACAGCTTTCTGGCTCCCGAAGTCCATTTCTGTTTTGTCTATGTTTGCTGCCAAATGAGAACAGATGCCAAATGACCTTGTGGCCTAGTGGTTACGGGATCCAGATCCCACATGGCTGACTGTGGTTCAAATCCCAACCCTGGCAGCTTGAAAAAACATGCCAGGTGCTCACACGCCTGCATAAAATCCTGACGAGGTAGAGAAATGGAAGAGAAGGGAATCGTGGCATGACCATGCTCCACTGAGGGTGCTTTTACATCTCTCTCTAGTAAGCACACACACTCTCTCTGGCAATTAAAAAAAAAATGAAAGGGATAAAAAGAAAACGTGTTAAATCAGGTACGTGGAGATGTGCTCGCATGGCCTTTCCTCTCTGATCTCCTAAATGTCAGGGCCTGCGTCTCGGGCTGTACTTTCTAGTCACCTGGGAGCTTAGATGCTTCCCAGTGCCACACCCCACCTGCTGAGATGGGGGCTCACTCTGAGTGGGGAGCAAAGGTGGCTTCTTTTCTCCTGTTAAGCTCCTTAAGGGTTCTGACATGAAGCCAGGGTCGGGGGCTCAGTCCCGACTGAGCTATGCACCACATTGCTCCAGGCACTCGTTTGAGAAAAGAGAAAGATAGCGACATCCTGGTCCCTGAGTGAGCTGTCTGGTGGCCATGGTGACAGGTAGCTCTAGCTTTGTGTATTCATGGACTCAATTCCGTAAATTCGCTGTTAGAAAGCTGGTGCGACACAATTAATTGAATGGCCAAAATTCCCTTGGAAGTTAGTTCCTGAGCATTTGGGAAAATTTCAAGGATAATTGATCTAACTTTTTGCTGAGCTTTGAGTTTCTTAAGAAACCCTGCCAAATCGCAAAGTGATTTTCTAGACGTGTGCAGCTGCTTCCGAGTTAACAATGGAGTTTTTCTAGGGCCATTAAAATCTGGAAGCCTGAAATTCTATTTTAAACTCTTCTCATTGTCAGTGATTAGTCTTGAAAAAAAAATTGCATTAAAAATAATGAAATCGTTTTAAAGGGAGCTCATTCTAAAATTGTAGCCAGAAAAGCAGGGCAGTTTCATGGCGAGAGCTCTTAATGATCAATAATCCCTCTGAGTGGGGATATTTGATGCCCCGTCATGGAATGGGATACCTGCAACCCAACTCTGACCACAGAAGGCTGTGGGCACCACCCTTTTTTGCCTCCCGCTGGGACAGCCCTCGGCTCACAGAGTCGACCTGGTTGTCTCCTGGCACACGGGCCACCTAAATACCTTCTGCAGTGTTTGCTTTGGGGCAGGCAGAAATGCAGGAATGGCAGAGCCATTGTAAGCACAAGGCATGACACTGTCCAGTCCCCAAACAAGATTGTGTTTTACAATTTTGATTGCTAAAATTGCTTCAGTTATAGTTAAACAAGCTCGGGGCACAAGTTCAAAATGGGAAGCATTGGATTACATCTTGCAAAGCAAACAGCAGCAGTGGGAACCGTGTAGTAAACACACTCCCCACTCGCTGCCCTCCCTGGGGAGGCCACAGGAGTGCTGCATCTGGGACGGCTGAATGAGGAGGGCCCAGGGCTGGGTCAGCTGCTGGATGTTGTGTCCTCTGGGTGGGAGAAGTACTAGGTGTTGGCAAAGACACCCTCACATCCACTGTCACCTCCAGCCTCCTGAGTGCTGGTGGGAGATGGATTTAGGGATCACCACCCCTCCACGAGGAGTAGGCACTCCACCAGCTTAGTGGAGTCCCAAGTCAGAGCTGTTTTGTTATTTGTTTTTAATATGTGTTGAATTATAAAAGTATTATTTACCCACCATAAAGAAGTCTTATAATACCAAAGTATATAAGGTAAGAAATAAAGTCTTCCCTCTCTCCTCCTCAGAGGGAGCCAGCCTTAGCCACTTGGGACCTGTTAATCCAGACCTCGCTCTGCACAGAAGGATTGGTGTAGACAGCATGTTCGCAGACTCCTACCTTAAGATGCAGGGCTGGAGCGGTTAAGCACTGTGTGTGGGGAGCCAGATCCCACATGGCCAGCCGTGGTTCAAATCCTGGTCCCAGTGGCTTGAAAAATACACCAGCTTTGTGTGTACCCCTAATCCCAATGGGATGAAAGAAAAAGGATCGCAGCATGACCATGCTCCACTGGGTGACACTTTCTCTCTCTGGAGAATGTGTCTACCCGCTGGCAATAAAAAGGAAAAAAAATATGCCCAGCACAGATCTCTTTCACCTGACTCTGTATTATAGACATTTTTCCATGTTTTGAAAGAAAAATTGGGGCTATTTTCGATAGATCGCTGTTAGAAAAACCACTGTGGTGGACTGTATACTCTAACACATGAACTTCTATAATGCAGCAGTTGCCAGATCGTCAGTGTGATGGTCTGAATGACATCTCTCTCCCTTGAGACTGAGAACTCCTTGGGGACAGGAATGGGGTCTGTTTCTGCTTTACGTTTTGTGGCCGGTGTTTGTCACACATAGAGGCACTGAGTCCTTGTCAAAGGGAAGACATAGAGTGGTCGTAACTGGCTTTTACTGAGTGTTTCCTGTGTGTCAGACACTGTCCTAAGGGCTATGAGTGCCAGGCAGGAGCTCCACAGATGAGGGGTCTAGAGTATGGGGAAGTAACTCCCCAGGTGATGCAACATTGAGTGGCCCAGCTGGGATTGGGGCCCCAGTCCCGCCCCACCGCACATGTACCTGTGTCTACACACTCATGTTCACATTCCTGCAGGGGAGGTTACCAGAAAGGGATTTGCCATGCCAGAGAGAATGCCCATTTCATAACAGTGAGGGTCGTGCCCAGTGACCCCAGTCAGCATTCCCACGACTAGTGCCCATGCCTTCATTGGCTCTCGCCAGCTTCCTCCTGCTGCCCTGCACAGCCTCTGCCATCCGCTCCCAGGAACGTGTGTCCTCTACTCCAGAGACCAGCCAGGAATGGTCAGGGAATCGCAGCTGGAAGGGATTTGAGACCCTAGGATCATTGTCTGGTGCCCTGGTGGTCACAGGACAGTGGAGGGGGTTAGGCATGCAGTCACAGTGGTCCTTCTGAGGCTGAGCATGCTGCATATCTCCCCTTATTTGCCGTTTATCTCTTACAACAGCCTCAGGAAGTGCAGGTCCTCGTCTTATAGGCGAAGAGTCAGCAAAAGTAGGTAACCTATCCATGGTCATCCAGCCAGGCAGTGGCAGGGCGGGGCTTAGACCTGGGCCGTCAGAGCCCACCTGTGAGCTCCCACCTGCCCTGCCCCAAATCATGACAATAGTTGGTTAGTTGGTTAGTACCGGCGCCTTCCAACACCCTCTAGGGTGCCCTTTCCCTCACACCCTTCTTAGTGGAAGGCCAAATCCAAATGTTTGTCTTCAGTGGTTAATTAGTTGTTAATTTAAACAGGTTATTTTCTTTATTCATGATAGAGCATGTGTGCATGCTGAGAGCGAGGAGCACCCCCATGGGGTCTAGGCTCTTTGTGACCCCCGTCCTCCAGTCCGCCAGATCTTGGGCATTTGTGCGCATACCTGGTGTGTCTCAGGCCGACCAGTCCTGGGATTCAAACTGTGGTCTCCACGTGAGATCCAGCTTCCCCTGAGTAGCGTGTTGTTATTGCAGCATGGAGCCTGCCCTAGGACAGGTTCTTAAAGACAGGTGTCTTAGGTGACAGCTGTAGGAAGTGCACTGTGCCCGTGCCATTCAGATCCTGAACTGTAGCTTCCTAGGCAGGAAGAGGACTGTTCCTGATTTGTGTATCAGAGTCCAGGGAGGTCAGGCCCCACGCACAGCGTGGGCTGCCTGGTGGCCCGCCTGCCTTGGTCCCCTGTGTGCCTTGCTCTTGGCTGCCCTCTACTGTGTTGTAATAGAATTGCCTGTGTTCAACCTGAAGGGGTCACCGTGGCCGATTTGCTAAAAGAGGATAAGAAGAAAAGGAAGTTCCGCTTTCGCCAACGCAGGGCTAAAGATCACGGTAATGGCTGAGATTGAGCTTTCTCTTTAAAAGACCTTTCCTCAAGATCTCTGATGCCTGTCCCTTGCACATAGGCATCGTGTGAAATGCATGGGCTTGCGTGGTGTGTTTAGAAGATGCCTGTATTTTAACTGCTCGGTGTCCTTGACACACGGTCCTGTTTTCTTCTCGTCTTCCCCTAAATTGTGTGTACCTATCAAGACAGCACTGCAGTGTCCTTTTTGTTCAAACTGTACCTTTTAAAGAAGCAGCTGAACCAACTGAGAACACTCATTTGACTCAGCATGAATATTCTTAGACTGTAAGACAGACGTTTTAAACACTTTCCCTCAAATGATATTTTCCTATTTAAACTGTTTAGAAATTCTAATAACGTTATTCGATTGATTTTTTTTTTCAGGCTCCATGTTTCAAATGGCTTCTTGGTCTTGCAGTCCCTATCTGGTTTGACCAGGACCATGCTAACGATAGTAGTGGCAGTGCCAAGAACTATGTTAAAAATAGACTTCTGGAATGCAAAGATTTGGGGGACACTTGCTTTTGCAAGTGAGCAAGGGCCCATGTGGGAAGGAGTTAAGTTCTATGCTGTGTCTGACGATAATGCTGCACGTAGGTGTCCTGAGAAGCCCTGAGGGGCAGTCAGGCCCACCTGGGACAGGTTGCTGTGGGGCACTGGCTCCTCGCCCTGCTCTGCCCAGGTCTCCACTGTGAGCTGGCAGCAACACAGAGCTAGGCTCAATGGCACACTGGCACAGTCAACCTGTGCCAAATACAGTGGGAGGACCGCAGCATTGAGTAGTCAGTTGGAGTGGTCACGGCTGGGTGGGGAGTGCAGCATGCCTGGGTACCAGATCACTGATTCTGCCACCAGAATTGACCCTGGGCAGGTGACTCAGGAGGAATAGTCTGTGTGAGAAGACTGACTACAGGGACACTGCCGACAGCTAAGGTAGTAGAGGAGACACACCGTGCTGGCCCTGTGAAGTGGCCTCTGCCACCTCTGGGAGTGCTGAGCTCGGCATGCTGGGGGGTTGGTGGGAGCAAGCCATAGGTGGTCGGTGTTATCCTCATGTCATCAGAAGGCTGGAAGTGGAAAGGGATGGAGAGGTTGCCAGATGTAAGCCCTTGCCCTCAGAGAGTGAGCTGTGGCCCTGAGAGGAGGAGGAGCTGGCTTGAGGTTGGGCAGAGATGGGCATGGCTGACTTAGTGCTGGGCTTAGAGGGTTTCTGAACAGGAGGCTGGCCACGATGCAGTTTCTGGGGACTCTGCAAGGACACTAGGCTTCCGCTAAGCGGGAGGTGTCTGTAAAGTCTGACTTCAGAGTATCCCTCTGGGTAGGTTACCAAAGGAGGGTGAGGGCTTCCTGTCCCCAGAGGGGAGATCCAATCTTTAAGAGATCCCTCCTGAAGGAGACGTGGACCTTGTGACTTTCTGAGCATTCTTGTGACTTATCCATTAGTTTTCCAGGGTCTGCGGGGAGCAGAAACAGCCTAATATTTTCAGGAGACATGCTTTATTGTGAGTGGGGATGGTCTCGTATTGACTGTCTACGGATCCCCAGGAAGGAGCCTGATCCTGCTGGTGACAGGTGGAGCCAGGTACCCTGTGTGGGTGTTAGCAACCCAGGCCACAGCCACTCAGAGACAGTTCCTGTGTGGGTGATTCTTACTGTAGACGTGAGAACCTTGGTCTGACCTTGACCCACCCTCTCCAGGAAGAGTCCAGCTTCTTCATAGCAGCATGAACCTGTTACTCTGTACCAGCTGGGCGTGTCACCCTAGCACACGTGTCTGCCTTCAGGGGATGTTGGATCTTTCTGAGCTTGACAGGCAGGTTTCCCATGGTGCTGCTCCTGCTCGCCATGACATTGAGATGGAGACACAAATCCTGGCATCAGACCCTATCCCTGGGGAGGCAGCTGGGACTCTGCCACAGCTCGGTTGTCCGGCCTCCTCCCACCCCTTTTGAAAGGGCAGAGCACAAAGCTCCAGGCCCTGTGGCCATGGGGGATGCTAAGAGGAGTCCCTGAGTGTATAAGAAAGCCTGTACCGTGGAGGACAGAGGCACGAGGCTCAGAGCACAAGGGATCTGTGAATGAGACTGCTGTCATGACCAGCTGCAGGCAGAGGAGTGGCATGTAGCAGGCCTTCCCTTTGGGCTGTCGTGACAAGGGGACCCAGGTCCCCATGACTGACTGAGGCCAGTGGTGGGCTCCGTTCCTGGGGCACCCTGCCTGGAGGATACTTGGAATCTCCTGGCAGGCTGCTGGGCTCCTGGCTGCCCCGCTGAGGGTGGTGGGCAGGGGCTTCTCCATTCTCCTGCCCGTTCTGTCCCTGCAGAGTTGGGTACTTGCAAGGGGAACCCCCAGCTGCTGGTAGTAAAAACAGACAGCCCGTGGGTGTTTGTGATTTCCTGCAAAGGTAGCAGGTCAGAGGTGAGTGGATCGGAGTAGCGACGTTTCCCAACAGCTCCATTTGCAGATCGGGGAGCCGAGAACAGGGGGGAAAAGGCACTTGTTGGCATCACCTGAGGACGGGGACCGAGTTTCCTGGCATGCCTTTGAGAATCTTCACCCTCATGAGTCTCCATCTCTGGGGAAGAGGGCCTGAGATCTTGATCCTTGGACCTGCACATACACTGGTTCTGAGTGTGTGTGTGTACGCGCGCATGCACGCGTACACACATGTGCTTGTGAGTGGATTTGTCTCTGAATTCACTGGCCTGGCAGATTTTCTCGAGAAGCCTGACATCCTGCAGAGTAAGAGTAGACAGAGAGAAATCCCTACACATCGGGCAGGATGCCAGTTACTGTGCTGGCCTGAGAAACTCTCTCGTTTGTTCTGCACAGCCTTGTCCACAGTGGAATCTAGGCCTCATTCAAGATTTAAAGAGAAACGATGTGACCCCCCCCCCCATACACAGAGAGTGCTCCGTTTGGGGGGCTGGACTAGTACAGGCTGCCCACCCCTTGAAGGCCTGGGAACTCTGGTCTGCAGTCCAGGATGTACTGGGCCCTGTCTCATGCCAGCTCTGCACTCACGGTGACACCCAGGCCCCCTTCTCAGTGCACCCACACTCTGAGCCCGAGAACCCACCTGCACCTCTCCCCAGAGATCTCGGTTCCTGGAATACATGGGACTTTACAGGCCCTGAGCTGTCCCCGGTGCTCAGTAGGCCAATTGTAGAGCCAGTGAGGTGGCATCCCATTACAGGTGACAGCTCATCCTAACGCCTGCTTTCTCCCTTTCTCCCCTATTTAACTGAAAAGAGTGTGTGTGTGTCCCACTTACACTCATACATAAAGAAATATATAAATACTTTGTCCCAGAGAGCCCTGATATTCCCTGGGATCAGGGAAAAGGACTCACGGTGTCTCCACATGCAGTTGGCCTCCTGGCTTGTTTCTGTAGGAGGAACCATCACCTATTGGTAACAGAGAGTAGGGCTCTAAGGGGTTTTCCTGTACCCTTATTGTGAATTGCTGACCTAACCATTTGTCAGCAATTCACACTGACTCTCTGCTGAAGCGGACAAGGGGGGCCCCTCTGGAGCAGCCATGATGCTGTGTCAGTCAGTAAGGAGAAGGGCATGTGACCAGCGACTTTGCCCGGGTTTGCTTACAGGAGTGCTTAGTCTCTCTGCTTGGACATTTGTGAATCCCAGCGCTCAGCGTTTCAGCTTGCCCTTCCGTACTCTCTCCGTTTGCTGGCTGCTCTGGAGCGATCTGGTTATGTGCTGGGTTTCTAGGGGTTAACAGAAGTCGTCAGCTCAACACACTGACATTGGTGCATGAGGGACCTGCTTGGCTTTTGGAACTTTTTGCTTTGTGGAGTTTCAGGTGTGTGTGTGTACCACACATACATATATGCATGTATTTTTTTATTCACTTATTTTTTAAAATTCACGGAAGAGTGTGCATACCTATGAGAAAGGGAGGAGACAGCAGGGGAAGAGAGAAAGAGAGGAGGAGAGACAGGCTAGTGCCCTTGACTTGTCCCCTTCCCATACCCTCTAGCTCAGCAGAATCTTGGGCTTTCACATGAACCTGGTGTTTTTCTTTTTGGTTGACTGTGACTTCAAACCCATGGCTACCATGTGGCTTCTAGCACTACAGTTCATATCTACCACCTGTGCCCCCAGGCTGAGCCAGAGATTTTTTTTTTTTTTTGAGAGGTTTTTGCTATAGGGTGCATGCGTGCTTACCAGAAAGAGAGACAGAAAGTAAGAAATCACCCCCCCGGGGGTTGGGGAGGAGGATGGTCACACCACAGTCCCTTCTTCTCCATTCTTCTCTCAGGATCTTAGGCATGCATGCACATGCGTCTGGCATGAGTTTAAGCCACTAGGTCTGGGACTCAAACTGTAGTCGCCTTCATGGGAGTCCAGTGACATAGCCGTTAGGCCAACTGCTGGTCCCAGGACCAGAGTTTTAAGCATGTATCGATATATACAGGACTTTCAGGGAGTACATGGAAAATGTGTATTACCTGATAAACTATGCACAGATTTCAACCTTCTTTTGTACCAAAATAAACTTATATTTAATTCCATTTGTGCACAAACTTTTCAAAATACTCTCATGTATACCAATACCAAAATGTATACCAGTATATTTAAGTGTAGACTGAAACCCCCCCAGGGAGCGTGGCCGGGTGGACAGAGCGCTGAGTGGAAGGAGAGTGTCCTCACGTCTCAGCCGTGTGTCCTTAGGTTGGTCAGTTTTCTCATCTGTGAAATCACAAAGTTTGCTCCTGTACTCTCAGAAGCCCCTTCTAGTTCTAACAGTCTATTATTCTTCTGTCTTGAGTTTTTAAAAATACACTTGAGATCCTATTGGGACTAAGTGAAGTGCAACTCACGTCAGTTTACTAATGTCAACAAAATTAATGTCTCGTACAAGTGAAGGGGAAAATGTCTTAATGGACAGACAAGTCTCCGGCTATGCCCACTGGATCTGGCTTTTCCTGTACTTTGGAAAAGAAAAAGCTCTTCGTCCTGTGGCAGGGAGTGGGAGGCCAGAGGTGATAGGCTGTCAGGGCCCCTGTCTGTGCTTGGTTCCTCCGCTCAGATCTCAGGACCGGATCAAGGGCTGTTTCCAGGGCCAAATGAGGTGGCCAAGTTCTAGCACGTCTTTCTCCTCTCCCCCTGCTCCTCTCCTCAGTCCTGGCAGCATTGGTCTGGAATGGGCTGATTTATTCCATGCCCATGGCTCTGTAGGTGTCATGGGGTGATGGTAGGAGGTGCCATCCCTGCAGCAGGCCGAGTGGGACGGTAGCTCAGTTGAAGACAGAGGAGATAAAGGCTCAGAGTGGTGGTCGTGAGCTAGTAGACTATTAGAGATGGGAGCGGCCTACTTCACCTTACAGACAAGGAGAGAGGAGGGATGGCAGAACCAGGCCCTGTAGGTTCACTCCCATGGCATTGCCCTCAGCTGGTCCCCCCAGTCACCCTGACACCACCATGAACTCGGGGTTGGACTGGCAAAGGGTCCACCACAGCAGTTTTCTTTATGCTGTTTCTGAAGGGAAGGTGATACTGTGCAGGGAGCCCTAACAACGGATTTCAGTGACATTTACCATGCTCAGACTTCCTGCTGAAGTAAGACAGGAAGCAGCTGTGGAGAAGGGAATCGCACGAGTAGCTCTGCATGTGTGTGTGCAGGTGCACACATGTGCGTTTGTGAGTCTTCATGACATGTTCTGTAAAGGGTTTTCCATGACTGAATCATGGGGGTCTTATGGTCTGTGTTTACCTCTACTTTTTTTTGCATGTAACAGTGAAAAAGTAAATTAAATCATGTAGTTGGTTTTCTCAGGCATAACTAAGAAAGGAGGGGAAAGGTTATTCTGTGAGGACCCCAGCAGTGCGATAGGAGTGTCATTGTACCCATTTGGGCTTTGCTTCTGAACCTCTGCCTAAGTGTCGCTGGGCACAGGTATTGAGGTTCTCACTCAGGCAGGCTCCGACCCTCGGGTGCTCTCCCAGGGAAGGGGGTCAGGGATCTGCTTCCATCTTCTCAGAACGCTCGTGGCTCAGGCTGCTGGACTTGGAGTCAGGTTCTGCCCACATGCTTGCCTGAGCAGGCCAGCAGCCATACGGCTCCTAGGAGGAGTGGCCTGATCTGGCTCTGTTCCTCTTTCTCCTGGGAGCCAGGCTGGACCTCAGTGGGTTTTGCTAGATGAAACTGGAGGGGTGATATGGGCAGAGCCCACTGGGGGTGAGTGTTCCTGCTGCTACCATAAAGTCTGGACAGGGGGACTGGTG